AGGTATGGACGCTTTACCCCAGAGTTTGGTGTCACCAACGAACTTGGCCAGTCCGCTTCTGATACCAATGTTTACATCATTAATGAAGATGTTGAAGTGTTGGCCCTAGGACAGAGCTTCGAGGGACCCCACTGGTCACAGCGCACCACAATGATTGACTTCCATCAACCACCACCCTCTGGGTCCTGCTGTGGAGCCAATTCCCCAGCCAGTGGATCATGGTGAAGCTGAGGCCGCAGTTGACCAGTTTTGCCAAAAGGTGATCATGGGATACCAGATCAAAGGCTTTTTTTAAAGTCAAGATATACAACATCAATCTATTCTCCCTTGTCCAGGTGATAGGTCACTTGGTCGTAAAAGGAAATGATTGGTCAAGCAAGACCTACCGCAACAAACCTGTGCTGGCTATTCCTCAGGATGCTGCCAGCGGCCAGTCTGTTAAGAATGGCCTCTTTGATAATCTTTTCTATGACCTTCCCCGGGATAGAGGTCAGGGTGATGGGCCTGTAGCTTGCAGGATCCACTTTCCTCCCTTTCTTGAAGCTAGGCACCACACTGGCACTCTTCCAGTCTTCAGGCACTTCACTAGAGCGCCAGGAGTTCTCGAAGATCTGTGTCAGGGGCTGAGCTATGATGCTTGCCAGCTCCTGGAGTATCCTGGGGTGTAAACTGTCAGGGCCGGCTGACCTGAAGGTGTCCAGCCTCTCAAGGTGTTCCTTCACAAGGTCAGCATTGATGGAAGGTAAGGAATCGCCCTCACCCAGGCGTTCCTGTCTTGAAATGGGCAAGGGTGCCCCTTGGGACTGGTGAAAAAACAATGCAAAGTACCCATTTAGCAAGTTGGCTTTTTCCTGCGTGTCGGTTGTCAGTTGTCCCATCTAGTTTAGCAGGAGTCCAATGTTGCCCTTGCTTTTCCTCCAGCTCCCCACATATCTAAAAAAGGACTTTTTATTGTCCTTGATACTTGTAGCTAGTTGGAGTTCAGTTGCAGCCTTGGCTTTCCTGGTTTGCTCCCTGCAGGTCCAGACCAGTACAGAATATTCCCCCTTGGATGTAGATCCAGTCCTCCATCCTTTGTAGGTCTTTCTTTTTAGACATGCGTGTCTCTGGCTGAGTCCTAGGGCCTGCAAATGCTGGCACAGAGCCAGCCTGACCTTTTGGCACATGCCGTCAGATCAGATTGCATTGGCTCTGTGCCAGCAGGTGCGGATTGCAGCGCTGCAGGCAGGAGCAGTGTGCCATTGGATCTTCCCACAGCTCCCAACCCCCACTCCCAACCCTGGTACTCATCTGCACCTGCATCTGACCCACAAGGTCCCCCAACCCCACCAGAGGGGTCCCCCAGCAGGCCCTACTTACCCCAAAAGCTTCAGGATAGAAAGTAAGCCTGAGTTGAGCCTTGGCTGACTCAAGAGTCTCAGGCCTCATCCCTTCTCCTTCCCTTCCCCCTCAGGACAGGGCTTAAGGTTTGCTTTCCTTTTTGCAAGAAGCTCTTGCAGGCTGGAACTCTGCCAGCCTGCAGATAGCTCTTTGCAAAAGTGGAAAATCTGTCTGTTTCTTCATTAAAATGAAAAATCTGCTTTTTTCTCTGTTAAAAGGGAAAATCCATAGGTTGTTTTTTTTCCGTGGGAAATCGGAAAACTCGGATCCCTGGTGGTCATGCAGCATCCCCAAGCCACCCATCCGCTCTGCACCACTTTCCTCCTGCATTTAGCTTTGCTGCAGAGGGTGAGGGTGACTGCAGGCTGCTTGCCAATCCCAGTACTGAGGTATAAGATGCAGTGACTTGGGTCTTTTACTAGACCATTCAGTGGCCTCAAATTATCACACCAACAATCCTGCCCATTCATTGATGCTGGAACCAGGATCTCAAGCACCACTTAGTAACAATATGGATATAGTTGGAGACAGGATGTAAATATACTTACACACTGATTATTGAAGAGGAGACCTAAACTACTGGGAACACTGACCCAAGGAAAAGCTCTGGTACAGGAAACCCACTGGTCAAGGCTCAGGTGGGAGCTGTGCAAAATTTAAAGTAAAATGATCAATAAACTGATCACTGGTGTTAGCAGACTGTTTCACTGCTTAGCTGGCAGTTTTAAAATTCTGTGGCATAAATAATAGCAACAGAGGTGAGAGATATGAGAGCACACAACTCTTTATCCTTATGTAATCTTATCATTCTTCTCTTTATCCCCACAGGCGCAAACTGACTGTAAAAAATGAAGAATCATACACCCCAAGAATCCAGAGGAAGAGTCAGACTTAAGATCCCTCTACTGGGAATATGGCTTTGTTCCTAAGGGAATCTAGTTGCTGATGCACCAGCACAATAAAAATTAGTTTCCAGATCCTCTCCAGATCTGTAACTATGGTCAGATCTGCAATCCTACAGTTTTCTAGGGATTTTAAAACCACATTCTTGTTCAGTATTTAAGGTACCAACGTTTTTGTCCAAGCATTCCCTTTCATTCTCTATCCTTTCTTGTTTCAAGCTGTAATTTTTTTGTAAAACTGGAGAAACATTACTTGGTAGTACAAATACTGATACACTTCTACCCAGGAAGTCAAAATCCTCTCTTCACTTGAATGAAGCTGTAATGAGCAACTTACTTTGTTTTTGCTGACCTGTCTCAATATCGGTTACTGGTCCTCACCCATGCTTATATTAAAACTCCTGGCTTCGCTACATGAAGTGGCTTTGGTTAATGCCCATTTACCAAATTCCTCTTTATGTTCTTGCTTAGAAGCAAGGTTTGAAAACAAACAAGATGTGAGACTTCTGACTGCCCATCTCTTCCAGACTACTGTATGATTGTACTTTTAACTGACTTATAAAAGCAGAGGACACCAGTAGTCTGAAATGCAGCTTAAAGCTTAGCGCAGGGGCGCGCAATTATTTTGGGCAGAGGGCCGCTTATCCAGTTTTGGCAAGCTGTCGAGGGCTGCATGGGTAGCCCCGCACCTTGACAGGTGCCCTGCCCCCTGGTCATCATCTTGGCACCAATGTTTCAAGACCAGCACCAGTGGGGCCCGTGCAGGGCTGCCTGTGCCTGCTCAGGACAGGCCCATGTGGGCTGCAAGTGGCCGTAGCAGGGAGCGTGGGCCACGGGGTGGGCAAGGGGCCACTTTTCCGCTGCACTCAGCACCAGCTTGTAACCCACCCCTGCTGCCAGCCTGGGCCCTGTGCTGGCTCCTGCCTCACCCATCAGGGCTGCGCTGCAGCTGAAGCAGCTGCGGCCCCCCTGCTTGCCACGCTGGGCAGTATTTGCTGCTGCTGCCTGCCCGGAACTTGCATGCTGGGCAGCCCAGAGGTGGCAGTGGTAAATGCTGCCCAGCATGGCAAGTGTGGGGGCTGCAGCTGCTGTTGCGCAGCCCTGACAGGTGAGCCTGGAGCCAGTGCAGGGCCCAGGCAGGCAGTGGGGGTGGGTTACAAGCTGTTGCTGAGTACAGGGTGGGGGAAGTGGCCCCTCGCCTGCCCTGTGGCTGCTCAGCTTTTTCCCAGGCTGCTTTTCCCTGGGCTCCTTCTCTGCCTGGGGTCCCACCCACCCCCTCCCCTTACCTGAGGTTCTGGCTGGGAGGGAGAGAACATGCTGAAAGTTGTGGCATATATCTAGATGGCACAAAGGTAAGAAGCCAGAAGCAGGGTACAGCCTAGGCATGGCTCTATCCAAATGCAGCTATTACTGATTCTAGTTCTTGTTCTTGAGCTAGTATGCACAGAGCATAGCTCAGGCGCCTCTGCAGTGCCGCATAGCACCAGAAAGGCGTATACCCTTAAGAGTCAGCTTGGCTGTTATGCGTAACTAAAGCCTAAATCTGCCCTTATTGTCTTGTTTTCCCAACATACTAAGAACAAGTGAGCGATGCATTATTGGAAAAATCAGATTTAATCTTACAGTAAATCTTAGCAAACTGCTTTGGTTTTAATACCTGTTTAATTTGCAGCAAGTCTGCATAATAGTAACCAAAGTAGAAATTTAAAAATTTGGTCTTAAAATGGAAAATTTCTGAGTTATACAATTTTTAAAAAGCACTCTTATGACAGTGCAGTGATCCACTCTCTGAAGAACTGTATAGTCATAAAAAGTGTTTATTCTCTTATCCTAAAAGCAGTGAAAGGTTATAACGTGAAGATAACACTGCCCAGACCTTCCACCATATTTCAAGTCAATGGAACTGCAGCCCCTTGCTCAGTCAATCGGGAAGATGAGTTTTTTTCTGAGTGTGAAACTGGGCTGTGGCATCTGCTTCCCTTGGTTCAACCTGTCATACTTCCTGCTCACCTCATGGTTTACAGCAGTAAGGATGCTGAGAATATCTTCTCCTCTGCAAAAACAAACAGCCTCAGCATTAGTAACAATAGTGTCAGCTACCCTGACTTTCTCAAGCATTGCTCAGCCACCAAAAATTTGTTGCTGTTTTTTCCTGCTTCCCTAATCAAATCCAATGGTACTGGCCATCTGTAATGCACATAAAGTGAATCTAAACTACTAATATGACACTTGGCATAAGCTACAGTTACTCAACCAACCAGTAACTGCTGTCTCCTGAGTTTGACTATGTTATATTTAGTGTTTTCTCTGTAGTACTGCCTCATCTTTAGTGGCGCAAATTCTGCAAAGTCTGTTGCATCAGTGCACATTTTTCTAGACCACATTCACAAAGGCTTGCAAACTCTTTGGGAAAAGTTACAGTTCTAACTACAGCAGGTAGAAGCTGGTAATTAATGGTATCATTACCGAGGACAGCTGTTCTCTAGGTGCTGGCACAGTGATTGTATGTACCAGGTGCCCTGTGTTGGGCTTCTATAGGAAACGTAATCCTTTATGGTGGCCATTCCAAGCAGAAAGTCTGCCTCATCTGGAATGCACTCCAGCTGAAACCTTGCATCTGCTTCTACAGATGAATCCAGCTCTCCAGAATCTGTTTCTATGGTTATTCCTCTCTGAAAAGTGTCACCTTGGCAGGCCTGAATGAAGAAAACTTTTGGTTTTCCGGCAAGGGAGATGCATTTCAATCCAGTGAAAGAGGTGGTCAGTTCCTGGATAGGTATTTCCTGGCCATCAGTGCCAAATATAATGCCTTTATCTCCATGAGACAGAATACAACAAACAAAACAGTCCTTATTCATGTGGTCCATCATCTGGTAGGTTTTCACGGTGTGACGGATTTTTTCTGCAGTGAGGTCTTTGTACTCTTCTACCTCAAAGTGAAGTTTGGTAAAAACTTTTCTCAGAGCCTCTGGAAGGGAAAGGGAAGGTATGACAGACTGGGAGATTACATTTTGTAAAACTCTTGGTTGTTACTCAGAACTACAAAGAATTTGGCTCATTCCACCTCTACATTTACATACCCTTTCCCCTTATGATTTATTTTCAGAATGGGTCTTTATCTCAGCTGCAGCAGGGTTAAGCATAGAAGAAGAGAAACAACAGATCTCATATTTGGATAACTGGCCAAGGCTGTGGTATTCAGTTCATTTGTCTTTGCTACTGTAGATATATCTAGTTCATATCTTGTACTTTTTACTGGTAGTTGTCAAAGCACTTTGTAAATGAGGCCAGCATTATCACCCCCATTTTACATATGGGAAAACTGAGGTACAGGCAGCTTAAGTGACTCATCCCAGTTTGCCCACCAACCCAGTGGCAGAGCTAAGAGAACCCAGGTTTTCTAAGCCTTATTTCAGTGTTGTCCACTAAAGTATACTGCTTCCTAATGGTTAATGAAAGCAAACAAGAAATGATATGTGGTTATGGCCCAAAACTTACTCTGTAAAAATGCTACCTTTCATTCAACTAATGTGCTGCTTATGTATCATGCCTGCTGGCTTGTTTGTGGAGTGCAGGGAGGGAAATCATACTGTGAAATCAAAATCCATTTCTATAGCTGTATTTTTCCTTGGCCTTGATCAATAGATCCTTGAGCCTGCACTGAGTCCTACTGGCTGCACAAGGGTGCAAAAATGTGTCTATATCAAGCAGATTGCAGGCTTGAGGTCTTGGATGGTAATGTAAGGCAGGCAGGCTGGGGCTTTAGTACAATGGTGCCCTGAGTCTAACTGGTTTGTTGAAGGAGTAAGAATATAATAATTTTGTCACGTGAATCCTTGGCAAGTGTTGCTTTCATGCTTTAAGCACACGATGCATGAGTCGGAAAAAAGCCAGCCTCACTCAGCTCCCAGACTGAATTTGTTGTTGATGGTTAGAAATCTGTTTTAACAAACTAAGCTGTTGAAACAGATTAGTGAGTTTATATACTTTCTCCCACCCTAAGAGTTTGGTTGCACTTTATTGATAGCAGTGTTTTTATTTAAAGATGAAAATTAGTCAAATAGGGGTTTATTTAATTTGATGAGAGACAAACTCCTGGCACAAATGGTATCAGCCAACTCCTTGTTTACTACTTAAATCTGAACAGTGTTTTGAATTATGGTGTGTGTTCATGGGCCTGAACAAGTTATCCCCCGCTAGTTTGCTGTGTGGATGCTTACTCCATATATGGGTGCCTTTTTAAAGCCAGTTTCGAAGTGGATTAAGCTTCAGCCATCCAAAGCTATGCTTTATAAGCCTGTCCAGATGAGGCAACAGCTCAGTAGCTATTGTATGCTACAAATGTACCTATTTTTGTACTATAAATTTTCCCTGAAGACCAGCCCTGAATCATGCTCACCAAGAATGAATATATTAAACTAACAAAATAATCTTTGCTTGGGGAAAAAAAAAAAAAAAGATGAGACAGCTGAGTTCATTTCACACCACAGCCCAGGCATCATCTCCTCTTCTATATACCACCCTGCTATGCTTTGAAGTTAAAACAAGGGAACTGCTCCTCTCTCTTCCTAGCTCTTGCTCCTACCTGCATCTGCATCTGTTCCATTCCGATCTTTCATCATCCTGAGTTTAGGTACCCCTGTTCTTGCTCTCTCAAAGTTATGATTGTTCAGGATCAGGCATATTCCACGGGGCTGGCTGTTCATTTTGTAAACATCACCTGGCTGCACGGAAAGAGAGAGGCTAAAGGCAACACTGGTACAATCACTAGTTCTCATTTTTCTCACATTTGATAGCTATAGTAGCTGCTGGAGTCAATCTACTGCTTCACTTCCAGTGCACAACAGAGCAAAGGCAAAGGATTCCCCAGCACCTTCTTCCCCTCCCCAGGGAAGGTGATGTACTGTAGTAGTGCTCCAGTAAGATACCAGGCTCCAAACAACAAAACAGAAGGAAGTTAAAGGGTCTCATCATCTGTTCCTCATCTTTATCCTCAAACGTTTCTCATGCTCCCCGCTCCTTGCATCAGTTTATTCTCCCTACAAATCCAATAACTGCTCTTCCAGGCATCTCTCCTCACTGGTAACATCACACCCACTCCTCAGTCTTCCTTTCCTTGGTCTCTCCCCTTTGCTTGCTCTTTTCTATCTATCTTCAGTTTTCTTCCCTGTGGCCCTTTCCAGGTGTGTGCTGTTTTCCATCTTTCCTCTCTGTGAATCTGGCTCCTGCCTGCCTCCCCCATACTCTCTGCCATCAGGTTTCCCACCTCACTCTCCTGGGATCCCTCGCTGGGATCTCTCTTCCTCTCCCTCCTTAGTGGCTCTTTCTGGAGCCCTCACTCTCTTTTGCTTCGGATTACATAGAGAAGTAAGGCTCAAATGGACCTCAAGAGATCCTTCTCACTCAGCCTTCTCTTTGTTCCCCCAGTACACAGCACCTCTCACTTATCCCAAAACCTCCACCTGCAGTCAGGGTCTCTGGCTCCCTACCTTTACCCTCTACCCTGCCACATCTAAACCCAGTCCCTTCCTCCCTTGCACTTTCCCCCACAAATATGTTCTCTGGCCTCAGCCAGAGACACAGCAGAGCAGGAGGCTGCTACTGCAGGTGTGTTTTGCCCCCTGCTGTCCAGAAGGAGGAACTACTAGCTTGTTCCTCAGAAACCTGTCTAAATTGAAGCAATGGGTCTTTAAAAGGAAATCTGATCACCTCGCTGAGTTTAAAAAGAAAGGAGATCTTGCTCTTCTTGTTATTGACAAGCACTCCATTTTACATGCTTGGCAAGGACAGAGGGTGGAGATCTGCAAATCTGCACACCCCTCTAGCCCAGTGGCACAGGTCTTCTCAGACCCCTCTTTCCCTGCTTACCAACAATAATTTACCCTGCAGTGATCTGTTTATTTAAAAAAATCCTAAACACTTTCAGCATCCTTTCAAAGACTTTTTCAGCAGATGCTTAAATTCTGTGTCCCAAGTGATGCACAGGAAAGTCTGGGCAGTGAGCAGTGCATTTTTTTTTCTGCCTCCTGGACAGCATCTCCACAGACAAATTCCTGTTAAAACATTTGGTTCATGTCACAGTCAAAGGGGCTGCCCCCCACTCCACAGTTTTAAGAAAACACAAGACCACAGGCTGTGTGTCAATCTGCTGCTTTACACATACTATTCCTGCTGTCTGCCAAACAAGACAATGTATAAATAGTAGCAATCCCAGGAAGTAGCTTTTAATTTTACTGGATTTACCTGACAGAATTTGTTCTGGGTGCCAGGGGAATCATGTGCAATCTGAGATGCCCACAGTCTGTCTTCAACTGAAATAATCCAGAAAGATAAAATATGAAATAGGACCTGGATCATTAGTTTTTAAAAAGGTTGGCTGTTTTCCTTTTGCCATGTATTTCCTGTGAAAAGTAATTCAGCTGCAGCGAGCGTCTCCCCTCTAATCTCAGTGAAGTGTGACTTATTTTTGCAGTGTGTTTGTGGCTGTAGATTTAAAAGTGATCGAATTGGAATGAAGTAACATAGAAGCTAATCCTCTTCCAACTATAATTAATAGCAAAATGCTCACATTTATTCAAAAGCAGGATTGGGTCCAAAATGTATCTTGTGTATCGAAGTTACATGACTGTTCATCTCAAGGCATTTCAATCTAACTACTGTTCTGCTGTGATATCAAGCTGTGACTTGGGAATGCTCCTATCCTGGTGAGTAGTGATGAAAGCATTTCAATACAAACAAATCAGCATTTTAATAGGCTAAAATCACATGGCATTCCCTAGCCCTTCTGTACAGTCATTGTTTTCTGGTTCTATAGTATGCATTGCTTTCTGCGTTCCACCAAATACTTGTACTTTGTTACTAAACCAACCAACCATTGATAATATGGACTCTCCCTACACATGGAAACAGACCACAAATTTTAGTGTGCCACCACTTAAAAATACATAGACTTAATTATACTTACCTGTTCTACAGAATTTTTTCATCAACAGATCTCAAAGCATACTATCAGCATCACTGTCCTCATGAATGGGAAACTGAGGCATGGGGCAGTGAAGTAACCAAGATGCCCAAGGTCATTTAGCAGGTCAGTGGTAGGGTGAGAAACAGAATCTAGATCCCTAGTCCCAGTCACTCCACTGGAGTACACTGCCTTCTTGCCAGAGAATACACCCTCATTACACTCCACGTAGCCCTGATTCCGCATGATCATTATTATACTCACTATGTTAGTGAAGAGTATTACAAAAGCCAATATAACACTGCGTAAGCCGAGGGGTCCATGCTAGTGGAGGCTGATGCAGAAAGCAGAGTCAGTATTTGTGAAATTAGTCTTAAGTGCTGCAAGAATCTTCCTTACATATCAATAAAAGAGCATCATCTCAACAAAGCAACTATGAGAAATAAGGATCCTTTGAGAAATGGGTTTGCAAGCAATTAGTGATCATTCTGTAACAATGTATAGAGGAGAGATGAGAGGGGCAGATGGAGTAAAAAGAATCCAGAAACAGGGGAAAGAGAACAGCTAAGCAGTAGAGCTGTGCAAAGCTTCGGGTGGTGATTCCATTCGGAGGAGATTCAGCCCGATTCAGTGGCCGAATCTCTGAATCTGAATCAAATCAGGGGACCAATTAAAAGGTCCAAATTGATTCAAAGCTCTCTGAATCTTCAGAAAAGATTTGGAGAGCTCTGATGCAGGGAGTCCCTGGTGGCTGCAGCGAGGAGCTGCAGCCAACTCTAAGCTAGTAAGTACTAGGGGTGGGGGAGGGGACCATGGGGGGACCCCTGCCAGGCCCCATCCCCTGCCTGCTCTCCCAGCCCCCC